GCTTAAACTGGATTCTCCTAGTTTCTAGGATCCAATAGATCACCTTTCAGTTGGGACATCTGTGTATATTTTCCCCCTGATGGTCAATCAAGAGTGTTAAGGAGACAGGACAAAAGAAAATTGTTTTCTAGTTTCTCATAACACTGTACTTCGGACTTTGGAATAAGTTTCTAATTCTAATTGTTTCAAAATAAACACGATCTTTTTTGTGTGTGAAATTTATCACAGCAAGATCTCCCCATTCAGTGTTCCCCAGTGCTCAGTCATTCCCAGATGGATGGATCTGAAGTCTATAGGTAAGGAATGGAGTTCTGTCACTACCCAAACACAGCAGCCACCGCAAGGCATTTGGGATCTTGCAATAAAAAACATTTCACCAAGCCTGGCACCAGTGGCTCGTGCCTGTAATCCTAGTTACTAAGGAGGCAGAGATCTGAGGATCGTGGTTCAAAGCCAGCCTAGGCAAGAAAGTCCAAGAGACACTTATCTCCAGTGAACCACCAGAAAACCAGAAGTGACACTGTGGCTCAAAGTGGTAGAGCTCAGGAGCATTGTCCAGGCCCAGAGTTCCAGCCCCATAACCATCACCAATAACAAGAAAACATTTCCCCAGCAAGCCCTTTTATGTGTTCACTCTGCAAGATTCCTCCATGAGACTTTCAGATCACCTGAGCCACAGAAGGAAATTATGAAGTTGTATCAAAACAAGGAACTTAATTCAAATGTAGCATTAAGAAAGTATTTTTAATTAATTGGCACAAACTGAGGATATCCTGCAGTTAACAGGCCAATGGTGGTTGACATTTGCTGAACTATGACACACTGAATAAATTGGTTTTTGTCCAACATGCTTAAATTAAGAAGAAAAAATTCAGAGGGTATAAAATCATTTACTCCTGTGTGACTTGGGAAAGTAGATACCCCTTTAAGAAAGAAATGTACTTTTGTTAAACGTTATTGTTTTTATTTTATTTTATTGTTCATTTGTGTGTGTGTGTGTGTGTGTGTGTGTGTGTGTGTGTTGGTAGTACCAAGGTTTAAACTCAGGGCCTGACACTTGCCAGGTAGTCACTCTTTACCACTTGAGCCATACCTCCTTTTTACCTAAAGCTGGTATAGGCAAATCTTCCTACCTGTTCCTCCCTTGTAGATGGAATTACAGGTGTGTATTACCATGACATATTTGGTAAAATGAGTTCTCATTTTTTACCCAGGCTGGTCTTAAACCACTGTCGCCCTGATCTCTTGAGTAGCTGAGATTGTAGTATGTGCTACTGCTTCTAGCTCTAAAATCTATAAATGACCTTCAAATTTCAGGACTTTTTTCAAGATACTGTTGTTTAGCCTTCATCTTCATGAACATACCAGGAGTTCTAACTTTCTACAGAGCTGTCAGCTCTCTTCAGTTTGGAGCAATAATTCAATGAAGGTACTTCACTTTTGTTTTTGGTCAGTCATGGGGCTTGAACTGTGAGCCTGAACCCTTTTCCTGAGCTCTTCAACTCGAGGCTAGTGTTCTACCACTTGAGCCACAGCATCAGTTTCTGTTTCCTGGTGGCTTTCTTGCCCGGGTTGGCTTTAACTGTGATCCTCAGATCTCTGCTTCTTGAGTAGCTAGGATTACAGGCATGAACCACCAGTAGCTAGGATTACAGGCATGAACCACCAGAGCCTGGCTGGTACTTCACTTTTAAAAGTAAAAATTAAATAAATAAGAGGAAGTGTACTCATTACCTCACTCATGTAACTGTAACCCTCTGTATAGTATCTTTACAATAAAAAAATTAAATAAAAAAGCTTTTTAGCTAAAGTCAATTTTTAAATCTATTTTGATTGTCTCTATTTGAAACATATAGTATCTTCAGGTTTAAAAGCTTTTGTATTGACTTGGAACTCTCTTCAGTTTCTGGTACTTAACACTCTTCCTCTGATTTTCAATGTTTCATGGATTTAAAACATACATTAAAAAAACACACAGCTGTTGAACTTGGGCTAAATGCTTTGAGAGGAGATTAAGGGGAGTTGAGGATGGGGCAAATGCTATAAATAGCATTTCTTTAGGATTTATCTACTGTATAATAAAGTGTTGTGTAACTCTGCCATGCATAATAAATAATGATAGTAATTTGCAATTTCTTATTAACATGCATCTATTGTTTTTTTTGCTCATATTAAGGGCTACTTCTTCCTCCCTCACACCCCCAGGGGCTCTGGTGTGTTGCTGGTACAGCCTGATCTTGTGCACAGACTTGCAAAGATACACACTCGCCCCCTTTATCACCTCACAGTTTCAATCTTACCAACCCAAAAGCAGTGTTCTAAAATCCTGAAGAGGTGGCTCACACCTGTCATCCCAGAATCATTCAAAGCCAGTCTAGGCAGGAAAGTCTGTGAGACTAGCTCCAATAAACTATTCAGGAAAGTCCAAAAGTGGTGCTGTGGCTCAAGTGGTAGAGTGCTAGCCTTGAGAACAAAAGCTCAGGGACAGCACCCAGGTCCCGAGTTCAAGCTCCAGGACTGGCAAGAAAATAATAAAATATAAAACACCAAAGAGAGCCTTAGTAACTTCTCTACCTTCTCTTTGCTTCCCTGAATCACAAGGAGCACAGTGATTCCAACCCAGAGAAACTCTATTGGACTCAAAGTGGAAGCAATGATTCCCAAAGAAGAAATAGCTTTAAAATTTTACCAACCTGGAGACCCTACAGCATAAAGTATATAAGAAGTAAGTGTGACTTGGTTTCTCCTGAAAGACTCATCACAAGAAACTAAGGGGGATTCCTGTCTCCATCAAGCAGTTAAGCCTTAGAATTATGGGGTGCTGGGTTTGTGTACCCCAGGGCAGCTGGAAGGCTTGGAGCCTTTGGAACTTAAAGAGTTGAATTGTTCAAAGGCCAGACACTGAGAGGGAAGGAGGTGGGGGTTATCCTGAAGAATCTCACGGGAGGGGGTAACAATGCTCCATAGGAAGTGTACTCATTACCTTACTCATGTAACTGTAACCCCTCTACAGAATCTTTACAATAAAAAATATAGTTTAAAAAAATCTCACAGTGGGATGCAGGAGAGCAGTGAAGGGCAGGACAGTGAGACACACACACATTGCTGGCACCAGGACTGAAACCACACAGCAGCTGCCCGCAGACGCGCGACAGTAAAGCCTGCTCTGGCATGCTCCCGGCCCCGGACCTCTCTTTCGGCAGGCAGCAGAGAGACCACACTCCATCTACATATAACTCTTTCCTTTTATTGGGGGGAGGGGGAGGGAATATGTAGAAAGACTTCAGAAAAGCAGCTCAGATAAGCCTAATTCCCGGATTCCGTGGCACCCCAGGAAAGGGCAAAAGTGCTGGGTGGCAGCGAAGTTGTACATAGAGAGAAGCAAGAGCATCACCAACGGAGCCACCAAGAGTTGGCACGAATGTGCCAGCAAGCTTTGCATGACTACAACAAGATGCCTGAGGCAATCAGCTGAAGAGGAGGAAGGGGAGGAAGGGGAGGAAGGGGAGTTTGGTCCATGGGGAGTTGACCCTATTGCTTTGGGACCTGTGGTGAGGCTATAAGAAAGAGAGCAGAAAAGACCAACTTCAACAGACCAACAGGTTTTATTTGGGAAGGGCAACCGAGTCTCCAGCCCAGCTGGAGAAAATGGCGAGACAACTAGAATCTCATTTTATTAGGCAGAAAAGGGGAGTGGAGTTGTGAAGGGGAGCAATCTTGAATCATAGGGAAGGAGATTTAAATGCGCCTAGATGATGGATACCCATCACCCATGGCCAATCCAAGACCCCCTTGAAAGTGACAACTATGACCTAACTTCCTCCCACCAGGCCCCGCCTTCCGAAGGGTTCTACCATCTCCTTTGATCACCAAGCTGGAGATGGAGCCTGTCACACACAAATCTTGAGGGGAACATTCCAGGTCCGAATGACAGCAACTTACAAAAGCATCTTTTCCAGCCCTGAAGGCAGAGGCTCTTCTCTGCATTTCTGGACTACACGTCTTACAATGGGGATCCTTGGCTGCCACCCCCCACTCTTCCCCGCCCACACGAGTGTTAGGTAGCAAATTTCCAATCTCAGACTCAGAATCAGAGTCAAAGATTAATACATACACTGTCATAAATTTTTTATTTAGTCAACAAGCCGGGCACCAGGGTCGAGGCCTATAATCCTAGCCATTCAGGAGCCTGAGATCTGAGAATCATGGTTTGAAGCCAGTCTGGGCAGAGAAGTTTGTGAGACTCTTATCTCCAATTAATCAGCAAAAAGCAGAAGTGGAAGTATGGCTCAAGTGGTAGAGAACCAACCATGCACAGGACAAAAAAAAAAAAGCTAAGCAAGAGTATCAGGCCCCTGAATTCAAGCCCCAGAACCTACACACAATCAACACACATTTAAGGAACAGTGGATGAAGGCCCTGGGCTCTGATGTGGGAGACTCCAACAAGAGATCGTTGTTTGGGGAGAAGGGTCTGAGGACTTGCCATCTCATGATGCCATTGCCACCAAAACAATGACCTTTGTCCCAATTGTCCTTTGGGTGTTTGGAGGAAGACCAGTTTGATGTTCTTCCTCTGGCATCGGCCAAAGGTAAGGCTCACATCCATCCGCACCTCAGATCAAGTCTTTAAAATAAACAACAGTGGTCAGTGCCGCGGCGAAAGTCACAGTCGACCATGATAAAATGCAGGACTCCCTTCCCAGCCGCCAATTTGGAAAGCAAATACTATTTGTTGGTAATTTCGTTTGTAATTTTGGATCCTGGCATCTCCAGGACCTGACGTTTTATTAAAGCATTTCAAATCTGGTTGTGGTTATATAAGAAGTGTCTGGGCCTGTGTTCTCTGATGTCTCTGTTCACATGGTGATGCCAGCCTGGCTCACCCCCTCCCCCAGGGTTAACCCCAGGATGGAGGCCCGGAGGCAGGAGTAATCCCATCTCTACCTGCCGGGGAGAAATCACTTGGAGGAGCCTTGTAGTGGTTTGTTTGGCCAGGATAGTGATTTTTATTTGCTTTTAAGTGTTAACATACAGGAATCTTGTGGGGAAAACCCCAAATTCTGGTCAGGAGATCTGCCAACAGCCATGTTCCTTGTGGCGGAATGCTGTCAGATAGAAATAAGCAAGAAGATTATTGACCAGGATGTTGCTTTCCAGGTACACACGTGAGCAGTTGTTAAATAAAATGTATGAGCGTGGGGAGGTTCTTTGTTGTGGACTTAGCACTTGAACTAGACCCAAGTAGACCAGACCAAACCAGAAGGAAGTCACTTGTGGTAGGTGATGGAAAATAGACCAGCTTTCCAAAACAAAGCGGCCAGGAACAACCAAGCTAACCCTGTGCGCTGACCCAGGTGAGGTGTGGGGAATTCCACTCACAGTGCCAGGGGCGGCAAGTCTAAGGTCGAGAACATCATGGGCAAACAGGAGGCCAGAAAAGGTCGAGCATGGAGTTTGCTCTTCATCTTGAAGGAGCAGCACAGCACCCCTAATGACCTCATGACCTTGAACTAAGCCCCACCACTTCACAGTTCCATCACCTCCCAAACTCTATCACTGATGGCCACGCTTCCAACCTCTAGCCCTGTTGGACCTCACTCAACCACTCGAACCATGGCCCTCTCAAAGAAAGGAGTTTCAAAGCATCCATCTGCCTTTGTCTCTGCTTTCTTGTGCCTTTTCAGCTTAGGAAGCCAATTCTGCTGCTCAGCTCACTGGAAGGTCCTTCATGAATTGCTTGATAAAAGCCAATGTAGAGGGCAAACATGATGGCTCATACCTATAATCCCAGCCACATGGGATGTAGAAATAGGATCAGGATTTGAGGCCATGCTAGGCAAAAGCAATAAAACTTATAAAAGACCTCCATCTCAGCCAACAAGAGACACATCATGGTTCACGCCAGCTACTGAGAGGTAGAGACAGGAGGGTCCAGGTCTATGGCTGGCAACATTTTTTTTTAGCTCCTATCTGAAAAATAAAACCTAAAGGAGTGGGGTGGCTCAAGTGGTAGAGCACCTAACGAGCATAAGGCCCTAGAGTTCAAATCCTATACCTTCAAAAAAGAAAAAAAGCCAACTAGAAAGTAGGAGTGTTACCTCAAGTGGTAGAGCACCAGCCTTGAGCAAAACAAGGCAAGTGAGAATGGAAAGCCCAGAGTTTAAGCCCCAGTACTGGCACAAAAATAAGTAGCCACGCTGGGAAGGTGGCTCTGTGGTAGAGCACTTGCCTTGCATGCATGAGGACCTGGGTTCAATTCCTGAGCACCACATAAGTAGGAAAAAAAAGCCAGAAGTAGCGCTGTGGCTCAAGTGGGGTAGAGCGCTAGCCTTGAGCTGAAGAGCTGAGGGACAGCGCCCAGGCCCAGAGTTCGGCCCACAACTGGACCCCCCCCACCACCTCCAAAAAAAAGAAATAAGTAGCCAACTAAATTGTGAAACCCAATTTGTAGAACTTTCATGTTTTTGACGGAACCCTTTTCTTTTTTTTGGTCGTGGGGCTTGAACTCTGGGCCAGGGAGCTGTCCCTCAGCTCTTCAGCTCTAGGCGAACACTCTACCATTTGAGCCACGGTGCCACTTCTGGTTTTCTGGTGGCTTATTGGAGATAAGAGTTTCACGGACTTTCCTGCCCGGGCTGGCTTTGAACCATGATCCTCAGATCTCAGCCTCCTGAATAGCTAGGATTACAGGCATGAGCTACTGGTGCCCGGCTGTGAAACTCTTATTTCCAATAAAAAGTACCAACCAACCAGAAAGTGGAGCTGTGACTCAAGCGTTGAGCAGTAGTTCAGGGACAGTGCCCAGGCTCTGAGTTCAAGCCCTAGGACCAGTATACACACACAAACACACACACACACACACACACACACACACACACAATGTTTGGGCCATGGTAACCATCTAATAAAAAGAAGCTTCTATCATTTATTCACTCAACAAACATTCAGTGAGTGCTTCCTTGGAACCAATCTGTGTTCCAGACCTGAGGAGTGCAGTGTTGAGTTAGAAATGCTTGTCCAGTCACTGAACTTACCATCTATGGAGGGAGGTAGTGCATGATGGATGACATCATCAATGTAGACTATGATGTCCCAGAAATGAATTCTGTATGCCACATCAACTAGTCCTAGTATATGAGCTACACACACACCCTTCCTGGCAAGGTCCCAAGAGATTGTTGAGAGAGCGACAGACAGACAAAGAGAGAGGAGACTTACTGGTGGCGGTGTAGTCCTGCATGGCTTCAAAACCAGTGGATCCCCGCAATTTGGGCCAGAAAGAGGGGGTTTATTTTGGGGTGAAAACAAGAGCAAGTTCATCCTGGCTGGAATGTATCTGGTGTACCTCCACCTCAGAGACATCTCTGGAGCCATCCCTGGGTCTAACTGCAAAGCCCCACGGGGGACGCTGGTTTCATCTTTTTATGACTTGCTGGGAAACTGGGCAAGAAAAACCATTATAGGTTACTCAGGGCATGTGACAGTGGCTATTAATCATAGCTGCAGTCATGTCAAGTTACACTCATATAAAACTACCCCTTTGATGCCCATACTGGGTATTATGATGCAAACCTGTTCCGGTTTTGTTTGAATCTCCTGATTTAAGGTGTCAACAGCATCATGTTGGAAGGCAAAAGGATCCTTAGCAAATTACCTCTTATGATGGTGGCTGGTTAAAGCCCAGGATTATGGTAGAGCCTCATGAGTTAATCCTTTCGGTTTAACTTGAGTTGAAGAAGATATGAAGCAAGGAAAAACTGGGTGAGAACATGCTAGAAGGGGGAAAGTAAAGTAGAATGTGGTAGGTGCTTTACACATTCCTGTGTTCAAATACTCACCGCTATCTTCCAGGAGATCATGGTGGTATATTTTGTGGGGTGGGGATCAAACATAGGGCCTCACCCTAGTGAATGAACATTGTGGAGAAGCAACCTATGCAGAATGGAGTGGCAGCTAACGATCTCAACACCCTGGGTTCAATTTGGCCCACAGAGAAAGTAGAGTAGGGATATTAGCATATCAACCCCATTTGATCCCCTGCTTTGGGCTCCCAGGCAGAAGTTAGGGGACAGGTAACATCACTCATTTGGCCCTCTGTCCTATTCTGTTCCTAGAGCAGGTGACACCCTCAAGATGGGATGCAAAGAACATGTCTGTCTCCCAGTTATACTGCTTTGTCACCTCCTAGTATTTTTGTCGTATCATGTTTATGTTGTGTGATACTGGGGACTGAACTCTTGGCTCCTAGAGCTTGGCCCAGGTCCCATTCTGTTCTTTAAAAACCAAAACAAGCTGAGTTACCCTGAGTGCTGGTGGCTCCTGCCCATAATCCTAGCGACTCAGGAGGCTGAGAGCAGAGGATCACAGTTCAAAGCCAACCTTAGGCAGGAAAGACTTCTCCCTCCAATTAACTACCAGAAAACCAGAAGTGGTGCTGTGGCTCAAAGTGGTAGAGCACTAGCCTTAGGTGGAAAAGCTCAGGGGCAGCACCGAGGCCCTGAGTTCAAGCTCCACAACCAACTAAAAACCCAAACAAACAAAAATGAACCTGAATTTTTCTATGGATGTGATCGACTATCATTGCTGGAAAATGCAGACTCGACCCTGCCCTAACAACAACAACAACGACAAAGTGGTGGAAAACTCCCCTCAGCTTAGGAGAACACACTTAAAACTTGAATCCCGATTCTCAGCATCTCAGATCATGGAGACCCTGTCATACCTATGAATTCTGCCTGTCCAGTGTACACGGATGAACTCCATTGGACGTTTGTTGTTGTTTTTCTGCAGTGGTTTTCTGGAGATTGGTCTTTGTTGTGGCTGTTGCCCAGGCCTGCCAGGATCCCTCTTCAGAACCGGGGCACCGGCGTGCCCAGCCTGTCGGTGACGGTGTGGCAGCGGGGGTGCTGGGACTCCGCCCCGGGCCTCTCACTCCCCAGCCACAGCCCCCGGCGGCGCACGACTGGGTCCTCTCATTCTGGAAGCTTCTGTTCCCTCGCACGCGAGCGAGCGTCAGAAACTTGGAGATGGCCTTCATTTGCCAGGCTGACTGGCGGCGGCCCGGCCTGTCGCAGAGAGATCGACAGAGCAGGCCATGGTGGTGGGGGGGGGGGGAGGGAGGGAGGGAGGGCCAGGGAGGGAGGGAGAGGGAGGATAGCAGCTTGCCGCTTCCGGTAACTTAGCAACCGGCGCCTTGGCAACGGACAGGGGGCGGGACCAAGGGAGGAAGCCGGAAGCAGGCAGCCGTCTCGCGAGAGTCGGGTACCCGCGCACGTACGCTAAGGACCAGGTAGACGAGGTCTCGCGAGAGCTGGGTTCGCGCGCGTACTCGTAGTCGGAGGCTGGCCGGGGTCTGCTCGCGTTCAGGTTCCTGTACAGGTGATCCCGGGTCACCTTGCTCTTCCTGCCATGGAGCAGCAGCCGCAGCAGCCGCCGCCCGCTGTAAAGATCAGGAACCTGCCCTGGTAGGAAGGAGCATGGCGTCCGCGACACGAGGCCCTGCCCGGCCTCTCCGACGTCCCCGGGTTGAGGACAGAGGGAGGGCTGCGACCCCGCGAGCCATCTAGATGTGCCTCGACGCCCCCAGGATCACCAGCCCCCCCACCCCCCGTTCCCTTCTTGCCAGCGCTCCTCCACGCCCGGCTGATGGAAAGGCGCAGCTGGACACCTTGCATTGGCCTCGCCCAAGCGCCCGCTCCCCTCCCGCATGCTTCCCTCCTTCCCTCTCCCCGCTTCTGTGAGACCTCAGGTCAAATCTGGGCCTGTGCAGTAGCTACTTTATCATCCGTCTTTGTTGATCAGCTTTCTAACTAACGAGCAGGCCTTCTTGTTTCCATGATGGATCCTTACAAAAAGACCCTGGGAGGCGGTTACTCGTAGTATTTGGATTTTACAACACGGAGAAACTGCATCTTAGCTTAACTAACTGGCAGAGCTAGAACACGGGCTTGGATTTGAACCCAGATAACTTCAGCTCGTGTCTGTCCTCAACTGTCTTGAATGCAAATAGGTCATAGTGAATAGCCGTTGATGGAGTCTGGCTTGGTTTAGAACTGCCAGGTTCCTACTTGATACTGTTACATTTGTTTTAATTGGAAGAGGCCGTTCAGTGGCGTTGAGGACGCTCAGAATATGCTGTACAGTCATCCCACTGTCTAGTTCCAAAATTCTTCATCATCTTAGATGGAAAGCCTATCATCACTGGCTCATCCATTCCCAGCAACAACTGATTACTATGTATGGATAAGTAGAGTCATGCCAAATGTGGCTTTGTGTGTGGCTTCTTTTGCTTAGCATCCTGTTGTCAAGGTTCATCTACATTGTAGCTTGGAGCAGATCTTTGTTCTCTTGTTTTTGAGGCAGGATCACTTGTGTGACCCAGGCTAATCTTGAACTCCTGAATCCCCTGAGGCCTCAGTGTCCCATGTGCTGTGCTTATAGGCATGTATCACTATGCCTGTTTTCTTCATCCCTTTTATGGTCAGATCGCACTGCATTACAGTCATAGATGGTATTTTACTATCCATTCCTTTCCAATAGGTATTTGAGTTTGAATTCACTTTTAAATTCAAGTATCAAGTGTTCATCCAGATCAGGATAATGGACAGCTAGAGAGATGAGGTTAGGGCTGGTTTCGTTGCTATTGATATTTAGAGTCAGTTGGGGGAGGGGGGCACAAGGCAACTGGCCTATGTGGCCTATGTATTGTAGGATACACCTACCCACAAAGTACCCATAGCATCTCCCCAGCCACCTAGTTTAACAACAATGTCTCAAGATTGCACCGAATGCTCCAGGCTGGGGAAGATGGATCCAGGTTCAAACTTGAAGGCTTTGTTTCTCTTCTTTGAAATAGGCTGTGAAAGGATTCTTTTTATAGCTAACAAAAATATTCTTGCATTTTTTATATAACATCCTAAACTGTGTTTCAGGGTTGAGAAATACCGACCACAGACACTGAATGATCTCATTTCTCATCAGGACATTTTGAGTACCAGTAAGTATTATTGTCATCTCTTTTGAACGATCTGTCTCTGCTGCGTAATAACTTGAAAGAATCTGACCAAGTGTTGTAGAAGGTGGCTTTAAGAGTTTTCATTCCTGCCTGGCACTGCTGGCTCAAGCCTGTAATCCTAGCTACTCAGGAGGCTAAGATCTAAGGATCTCAGTTCAAAGCCAGCCTGGGCAGGAAGGTCTGTGAAACTCTTATCTCCAATTAACCACCAGAAAACTGGAAGTGGCTCAAATAGTAGAGTGAGTGCTTCCCTTGAGCTGAAGAGCTCAGGGACAGCGCCCAGGCCGAGATCAAGCAAGACTCGTAACCGACCAACAACAACAAAAAAAAATAGAAAAGAGTTTTCATTCCTGACTGGTCATGGTGGTCCATACCTGTCATCCCAGCTGCCTTAGGATACAGATGTAGGAGTATCAGCCAGGACAAAAGCACAATCTAAAAAGCAAAAAAGAAAATAAAAAAATTGAGGCTATGACTTAATTGATATAGCACCTGTCTACTACAAATCCCAGTACTACAAAACAAAGTTCTGTTTTGTTTGCTGGTCCTGGGCCTTAACCTCAGGACCTGGGCTCTGTCCCCGAGCCTCTATGTGCTCAAGGCTAGTGCTCTACCACTTGAGCCATAGTGCCACATCCGGCTTCTTAAAAGTAGTTTGTTGGAAATGAGTGTAACGGACTTTCCTGCTTGAGCTGTCTTTGAACCGTGATCCTCAGATCTCAGCCTCCTAAGTAGCCAGGATTACAGGCCTGAGCCACCGGCACCCAGCCACAAAGGAAGTTTTGACTCTGGCAGGTGTGTGGTTGGCACTTACATAGGGCTGAAGTGCATTCAGCCCAGGTCAAGGGCTCACTTTGAATGTGTGACTCCTGAAGACTAGTGCTGTTGTTTTTCCTCCCTGTCCTCAGTTCAGAAATTTATCAGTGAGGATCGCCTGCCACACCTACTTCTTTACGGCCCGCCAGGGACAGGAAAAACATCCACCATCCTCGCCTGTGCTAAGCAGCTATACAAAGATAAAGAATTCAACTCCATGGTCTTAGAGGTGAGTAGGATTATTCTCATTCAGCAAATAAGTAAGGAAGACTGTGGTTCAGGGCCAGTTGTGGCCAAAAAAAAACCTGGGCATGGTGGCATGCTCCTGGTATTCCAGATACTTGGGAATGCAAGTAGGAGGATCACAGTTCAGGGCAGCCCAGGGAAAAAGTGAGAACCTATCTGGTTCTACTAAGTGCCAAGCCCAGAGTTCAAACCCCAATACTGCAAAACAATAAAAACAATTCCCATAATCTAAATATTGTCTATTACAAGAAAAATATTTGAGTTACTGTTTCTTTTGTTGTTGTTGTTGGTCGTGGGGCTTGAATTCTAGGCTTGGGTGCTGTCCCTGCGTTCTTCAGCTCAAGGCAAGTGCTCTACCACTTAAGCCACAGCGCCACTTCCAGTTTTCCAGTGGTTTATTGGAGATAAGAGTCCCATGGACTTTCCTGCCCGGGCTGGCTTTGAACCATGATTCTCAGATCTCAGCCTCCTGAGTAGCTAGGATTACAGGCGTGAGCCACCAGTGCCCAGCTTTGAGTTACTCTTTAGGTGTAGGTGTCAGAACCTTGCCACTCCCATCTTTGTACTGTCTTGGGTGAATTCAGAATGTGATAAACCTCTTGAGGATTTTGATAACTAATTAAACATAGCATTGTCTTAGCAAGGCACTGGGGGTCCATGCCTATAATCCTGGCTACTCAGGAGGCTGAGATCTGAGGATCATGGTATGAAGTCAGCCTGAGCAGCACAGTCCATGAGACTCTTATCTCCAATAAACTACCAAAACCCAGAAGTAGAACTGTGATTCAAGTGGTAGAGGACCTAGCCTTGAGCACCAAGAAGCTCAGGGATAGTTCTGAGGCCCTGAGTTTGAGCCCAAGACCAGCAAAGAAACAAAACAAACATCACAAAACACCATAGCATTGTCTTGCTCAGGACAGAGGTCTTTTGGAAGGGATCATCCTTGAATTCCCAAGTTTGTGTGGAGACGTCCTCAAGAGAAGGGAAATAGCCATTTGCCTTGCAGATGTAATGGAATGTTTAGGGACTTCTGGGTGCTTTGTTTTTCTAATGCTTATCTCTTAGCTGCTGTTAGCCCTGGAGAAGTAGTTGGCAGAGATATATTGAAACCAGAATTCATAGGTAGCAAAGTATATGGTTTTCATGATGGCATCTTTCTCCTATGTGTAGCTGAATGCTTCTGACGACCGAGGCATAGATATCGTGCGGGGACCAATCCTGAGCTTTGCCAGCACCAGGACAATATTTAAGTAAGAATGATTTGTATAATTTCTCAGAGACCTGATAGATAAGATGGTACCGCTTTTGAATCCTCCCCATTGGTAAAACAAGCTATGGAAAGATAAAATTCAAAGAAGGTGGTGAGCAATGTTACAACAGGCCAGGCTCGGTAGCTTCCACCTGTAATTGCAGCTGCTTGGGAGGCAGAAATCAGGGGACTGCGCTTCCACTACAGCCTGGGAATAAAAGTTAGAATCCTCTTATCAGTAGCTGCCTACTACAGGGGAAGCACAATGTGACATTCATAAAAACTGGCTGCATTGACCTTTAAAAAGACAGTGTCAGAACAGTGGTTTAAATAAAAAGGAAAAAAGGTGGTCTGGTGCTGTGATGTAAGGATTGTGGTTCAAAGCCAGCCTGGACAGGAAAGTTCATGAGACTACTAACGAGCCATGGCTCAAGGAGTAGAGCACTAGTCTTGAGCAAAAAAAGCTAAAGGATAGTGCCCAGGTCCTGAGATCAAGCCCCAGGAACAGCACTAAAAGAAGACAGACATGAGCATATGGGCGCATGGCATGACCAGTGGTAGAGCGCAAGCTGACCCTTCACGAATGCTGTCCCACCCCCCAGGCAGAGCAGGTAGTGGTGGGGTCCTGTGAGGAAGGAAGCCAGGCACGGGACGGTGCAGAGGATAGGCCTGGCCCTCGCTGCCCTCGTGGTGCAATATGCTCTTCTTGTCGGAGACTGCACATGCCAGCCTTGGTCCCCGTTCAGGACACGGGAACTGATGGCCCAA